TCGTTTCGGACATGCATTTGTGCATTTATCCAGATGATCATTTGGGATATCCAAAATACTTCGGATCATAACACCACTTTACCCAAATAATCACTTCGACCAAATTAATTATTAATACGCTCAGTATGACTATTTTATGCTCCAAAAAACCATTTCGAATGATCCAAATGACAATATTGGGCATCTTAATTAGTAAATCAACATTTGGACATATAATGTTAATTTCCCATGTGTCTGTGGTCATTCGAAACGGTTCGAAGAGGTTATTTGTCCGAAATTACAATTTGTGAATGTCCTGAAGTAGTAATTTAATATTATCCGAAGTGTTTATTTAGAATAGATGCGCGCATTTGGGGCAAGCATATGTCTGAAACGATCTTCACTTTTCGGATATTAACGCATTGGGCTACAACAAGGTTAGTTATTATCAACCATGTCACGTGACTATAATTACAATTTTTTTATTTATGTCAAAATTTTATTCTGGAGTCGTATGATAAAATATTAATTTACTTATAAAAAGTAATATTTATTAATTACGATGTTTGTACGTAAATTACAAAATTTAGGATTATTGATAATTTTATTATCTGTTATCAATACTTCCTCACTATACAAGAAGAATCGTTTCGTACATATCCCGTACATAGAGTAGCGTTTAATCCACGAGGATATCGAACTATAAAAGAAATATGCATTCATTGGTACGATTATACTCAAAAAGAGAAATGGACTGATTGCAACATAGCAACTCGAAGCCCAACATCATATACATCTCCGGATTGGTCAGTAGGATACAAACTCTCTATTCATTCAGATGCTGGCACGTTTCATGAAGATCCAATTCTTTGGTGGGATGACTATGTAGGAGTAATATATTGTAACGATATACATTTTTATTTAAGTGGTATTAATACTATACTTAATTTTAAATTGGAGATAGTTACTGATAAATGTTTCTGGGAATAATAAATAAATGCTTATTTTTGGAGGAATTCTACAGAAGTAGTTGTATTTGCTCTAGTAATATTTCTATAGTCGAGAAGGCATTTTATTATTAAGTAAAAAAACACATAATTTTTCATTTATTAAATTAACTAAATAAAGATTTTTTTATCGCCAAATAGATCAGTTGCACATTTTCTTTTTTTATTTTAATTTAAAAAAATCAAACTATTGAACTCGGAAACTTAATTCTTATTTTTGGCATACGCCTCGCCTAGCTTCTGGAATATGGTTCTGTAGTATTTCCACATAAAAATAACCAGTCATTATAGTTTGAAACCAAAATAAAAATGTAGTTCCTTTTGCACAAAATCCTTCCTACGCAAAGATTTTTGTTCGATACATCTTTATACCAACGTGTACTTGTGTTTCTGAATTGAAAGGCTGTTTTGTCTGTAAATAAATTCACGGCCCATTCAACCTGCTTTTCCTTGTGAACGTCGGTGTGGGTTTTGGTAGACTTTTATTATACCCAGCACTTGTCAGATGCTTTGAAATAGTTGAGCAATGGAGCTGTACTCCTTTTTGTGTTATTTTATAAGAAATACTTTTAAGTGGGATAGATTTATCTTAACGAATATAATGGCTATTGCTCGTGGTATTTAAAGGGTTATCCTTTTTGTTCGTCCGTTTACGATTGAGATCTTCTTTGATTTTAAAATAACTTTCGGTGGAGGTTAAAATCATATGACTAAAATTTGCGAGAAAAATCACGTGACTTTAACAGTCCTCCAGCTGAAAGTTTCAATCATATCGAAGATACACATGGAAAGAATTATCATAGCTTACCTGTGACTAATGCTTTATTTATTTGTAAATCACCGTGACTCGCCCGCGAATGTTCATAATTATAAATACAGTATATAGGATTCAAATTTTATATGCTAATGTGTCGTGAAAGCCACAAAATATTATATAAGCATGTACATGTAAATGTATCACATGTGCGGTTCCCTTTAGCCGTATCAAAGTGAGATTTGTGTAAATGTCCGAAATGGAATAGCTCATGTATAATCCACTCAAAATCACGCCGGAACTGCGCTTTGAGAATTGTAGTTAGAGATTGGAACGACTTTGGTTACCCGGATCACCCGCATTAAATAAGTTTGACCCAGTTCCAGATTCGACAACCCAGATACCCATACCCGATTGCCTTAATAAAAAAAGCAGATTTCTGATGCTCAATAATTTTAAGAAATTCAAATTAGTTAAAATCAATTGAATTGTTTATATAAATATTAAATGAGTTTTAATTTGTTTAAAATTTAAATTATGGAAGACATTCATGGGTAAATATTCTATAGATATTCCAGCTAGATTTTTTATTTAATTTTCAATTCGTTACAAAATTCACTCTAAATATTAGCTTTCAACTATGAATGATAGGCCTTCCCTTTCAGGCAATGATAATATAATTGTTACTCATGTAATAAAACTCTCCACAAATTTTTTTTTGATGCAAGCAATAACATGCCACAATGAAGGTAAATAAACTTATGACCAGAAATAACCTGGGTACCCGATTTATAGAATGGTGCGGATACCTGGGTGATGTATTAGGAGACGGTTCCAATCTCTAATCAAAATCAAGTAAATCATGAAATTGAAATTGATAATTATTTGAATGAAATTATTATACCAATCTTATCCGAAGCTACTGATTTTTATCAATGGTGGCGTATTAATCAACACTCCATTCCTGTTTTAAGTAGAATGGCACGTAAGTATTTATTAATTCATGCTACTTCCGTTCCTCTGATGCAGGAAATCAAATTACCTTACAAAGAACCCGTTTAGCACCCGAAGTAGTCATTCAGTTATTATATGTCAAAAGAAACGGCAAAATTTTTGGTTGATAAATGCAATAACTGCATTTAAAAAAAATAATATACCTTTTTCATGATAAAATTTGATCATGCGGTATTTTGTACATTAAATTCATCCGGGTATAACAGGTAGGTAAAATTTTCTTTTGGGTAAAATTGTTGATCACCTGGGTGATCCGATGAACCCGGGCCTTGTTTTTTAGGATGGGTCCAATCCCAAGTAGTTATCATGCACTTCCACATCTATTTTAAATAAAAAATAATATTTATTATACTTAAAAAATGACAAGTATAAAATTGTGGCGCTGCTCCACGAAAAAAAATTGTTTAGTAATTTTAATTTTTCATACAAAATTAGTTGTACAGAAATTTCAACATAGACAAATCATATAATAATAAAATTTGAAATTTGAAATATATAAAAATCGTATTAAAATTGTATTGAAAAATTAAAATATACATATTTACATACTGTGGTTTAATATTTATTAACATGTGAAAATTTAATATTACTAAAAATGTGTAAATTAAATTAATTAATTTTTTACAAAAATTGCAAACTATATTTAAAACCTTGGAATTAAAGTAAACTTGCAGAGCAGACAAAGCTTTTATTTATTAATTTAAGCTAGGAAATAATCAAAAAAGTCTTATTGACTAGTACTATTTATTTTCCTAATTCAGATATTGTAGGAAAAGTGTGCTAAACATTTGAACGTACAGGTACTAGGGTTATCTCACGCATTGGCATCTTACAATACAGTCCAAAAATTGTAGCGTTTTTTTTTTGGCACAAAAATCTACACAAAAACTGAATAGTCATTTTTTCATAGGGCTAGATGTGTCGCGATTAAAGCTATATAATAGTATATAGTAAGAATAATTATTAAAAGTTTAATCATGTTTAATAAATTTTTTTAGTTAATATTATAGCGAGAAATATTGTATTTCAATAATTAATTTGTGAATGAACATTCAACTCATTTATATATAAATACTGTACATCTTTTAAAGTAGAGATCTAATAAAAGTTCCATCTTTTTTTTTAAAGACTGGTCCAGCCCATTTTTTTTTTTGTCCAGCTCAGTATTTGATACTAAAATGCTGATCATTAATAAATCGAAAAGGCATTTGCGGTACGGTGCAATCTTTTTAACCTTGGATGGCTTTTTTTTGAATACTTTAAATGTTCTCATTTGTCTTAATATAGGAGCTAAGCTATAAAAAGCAAGTTACTATCAAAACTAATTTTTATAGCACAAAAAAATTATTATTGTTACACAAATTTGATTGTTTGAATATTTCTGCAGTGCTAAAAACGCTTTGTCGTCATATGTAAATTTATTAAGAAAAAAGATACTGTCTTATAAAAAATTATAAATGATGAAACAGACAAAATGAACTTACGACTAATAAATTAAGTAGTTCCTTATTGCAGAAGTATACAATAATTGACAATAAACATAGTAAATCGTGTATCAGGGAATTAATATTTTATTCTGTTTCTTTTTACTCACTAATATTCATTGCTATGGTCTTATACATTAACTATGATACCATTTATTAAACACATTAGATAACTACATATGTAAATTAAAGAGAATTTATAAAATCTATTCATACCTGCTAATTCTAAATCATAATAATGCTTTATGATTTTATTGATTACACTATTAAAGTTTACATTTCATAGAATTAAATAGAAATATTGTTATTCGCAGCTTTTAATGTAACGAAGGCAAAGGTAAGCAAAAAGTTTTGAATCGAATTTATTTATACTACTAAAACGAATCTAATAAAACTTAAATAAGGAATTGCTTCGATGACACACGTTTATTAATTAAGGTTTCAAAGTGATTACAATAAATACAAAAGAAATATAACTAAACGTAATTTTAATGATTTAGGGATATGAAACTTATATTTCATTCAATAGAAATCCCACCATTTTTATATCCGACCATCAATCTTCCAGGAACCATTTCTTCCTCAGGACCTATAGAAACTGATGAAAAAGGAAAGATTAAAAAATAGGTTAAAAATAATTATTTCGTGATAAATCACTCATTCGGCACTGAGCGACGAATAATTATTAATTAGGTACACGCATGACTTAATATTATATATTTACATATTATCATAATCTTTTTTTGTAGATCTCTTACGTCTTCATGCATTGCTTGCTTTGCGAACTTCTAAATCGCCATCCGAGTCTAATTCTGTCTGTTGTGCCAGGAAAATTTGTTGTTCGATTACCCGAGTAAAGAAGCTAAATATATTTGCTAATGGATTAAACTGAAAGTTCGTATTTGACATGTAAATTTTTCGGTTTTACCTTCAACGGCACCTTCAAACTTAAAATCATATGTTGAATTTCCATCGACAAAAACATTTTTTATTTCATCATTTATTGCTTTCCTCATGGTTATTCAATAAGATGTTATAAGTCTATAAAATAAAATATAAAGTACCAGATTAATATTTCAAATAATTTTGTTTATCTTATTTTTATCAAATCAAAGAATAGGTATCAGATTATCATAAAATGTGAAATTTAACAAATTCCTTTCAAAATTTGATGAAATGATCAAATGCCTAATTTATTGTAATTATAATCAAAATAAAACCAGTCATGCTAAAAATCGTTCTTTGCAAATCATATGGCGTGAAGTCTCGGTGCTGATAGTTAGTAATTTTTTATTAATGTATGATAAACATATTAATCTTTCCAAATATACGATACAGTAACTAATGTTTTAGTACGTCAATGGATTTTGTAACTTTTTGGTGATAAATGTTTGCATCATTATATGACATAGTTTCGCGCATATTATTTTTATCATTTGATGATTCGGGTCACCTGGGTCAGGCTTTAAGATATTAGGACTCGTGACATAAAATGATAGTCCCGATTCGAATTTAATACAGCCGAAGCATCATTCCCGAATTAACTTAATGCCGATTTTACGCCACCAATATCTCATCGAGAAATAAGATTTCTTAACTGCTCGTATGTATTTTTAATGGAGTATATTATATTACAGGTTATTATAATTTTTTTGTTTAGAAATTTTTAGAAGACATACAACATGGCACCGCAATATTGGTGATTCAAATACAACAAGTTTTATTGTCATCATCCAAATAAATATGAAACTATTTAGAGTAATAACACAGGTAATCTCTGATAACCTGTGAAGTTACGGTATAATTATTCGGCTCTGACCTGATTACTATAAATATTTTTATTTCTCATAAATATCATCTAATTTATTTTTCTTTTACAATATTTATCATAACATACTTGCATATTTTATTATGTCACAGTCAAATTACACTCTTTATAAAGTCAAAAATAACAATCTTTATAGCATTTTTTGAAAATAAAATAAAAAACTTTAACGTTATATAATGCACTCGCGCGAATGTTAGAATGAATTTAATGAATACTTAGTAAATGTAATTTCGTTATCATTTTTTCGTTTAAAAAGTCTTTAGCCGCTATGCACTATGCATATATAAATATAAAACTATTACATTCAACTTCGCGATTATACTTTCTTGCATATACATTTAATAATTGTTCTTTTATATATAATAAAAAATAAGGAAAATGATAATATAATATTTTTAAAGTATTTAACATATAATTAATAGCTTTTTACACTCATATTCTCTCCATGACAAATTACTTCACGGCCAATTATAATAATCATATCATATAAGGCCTTATAATCATTATTTTATTATACATGATAAGTTAATTTATGAAGTTATTTTACTATGCTCCTCAATCGACTTTTTTTTTAAAAAATAAAATAATATTTATTAATCCTAAAATTAAAAAACGATGCGTCACACATAACGACAGAGAATTTTCTAAGTATGACATAATTAATAAATTCGCTAAAAAACAAAATTGAATTTAGCGTTACATACAATATCTATCAAAGTTTTTTTCTAATTATGAAATTTCAATATACAGTAATATTCATATTTTCTTAGTTGATATGTGGATTTATTATAAAAAGATTGAATTATTATATATATTTATTAAATTTAAGATAGATTGCAAATTTTATAATTGCTACTCTATAAGTTTATGTTTAAATAATTACAAACATTATAAAATATAAAAATCGAAATATAAACTTTTTAATAAAACTTCAAGTCATTAAATAATTCTAGATATATAATATAACATTGTTATAAATTATTCTATTTTAAATTAAATTATATTATTATTTAAAATTATTTTAATAAATATTAATTTTACCTTCAGGAATTTCAGGAATCACTAAATCATATTGATCTTCTGAATGAAGATTTGAATTATTATATATTTATTCATTATCTAATGAGATTAAAATGATTAAATTATAATTTCGGTAATACGTAATAATATTTATCAATCCCTTACCATCACTCAACATACAACTTGTTGGTACATAATTCGTACAAATTTCATCATTTCCTAAAAGAATCATTTATAGTTAAAATAGAATAAGCAAACCTTTACAAATAAATAAATACCTTATATGTTTTATCTTTTTTGATTTGATTTTTAAATCTTCTTGATTTTCTAATAAAAATAAAAAAATTATAATGAAAAGTTTAATCGTTAGCTAAAATAACGAAATGACTCATTACCGTCATGAAGGTATGAAGAATCCCTCTTATTATTTATGTCTGTTAATAAAGTTTAAAATTATTAAATAATATAAGCTGAATTCCGAATTAAAATATTACAATATCTATTCTTACTAATAACTGATGTAGAAGCGTTCTGTTTAATATAATCTTTAGATATTTCTTTGGTTTTTTTTTATTAATTAATAAATTTATTATTGGATACGTATAAACAAGTATTACTTACCATCCGGAATATTAAGACTATTTTGCTTGCTGTCATAAGCTTTTTTATAAAGAAATTATCAAATTGACATTAAATTTAACTTTAATATTTTAAAATTTTAAAATTACAACCTTCTTGCTCTTCTGTTAATTTAAAAAATTTTTAAATTATAACCAAATTTCAATTATGAAGATAATAGATAAAATCTAATTGATTGATTACCTTTAGTAGCATTTCTTGGTTCAGGTAGATCTTCAAAAATATGAACTTTGATTAGACAAAACAAATTCTTAAATAGTCACATGACAAACACTAATTTGAAATCCGAATTTTATTTAACAAAGTCTGAGAGGACGCAATATATGAGCTTAACATCAGTACACAAATCAAAATATTTGTACCGGATTTTAATTCTTATCCTTACATTCCCTTTATTACTTGTACATTTCTTTCCTTTATAATTTAAAAAAAATACGTAATTATTTTGGGAAAAAAAATAATTAACAACATTTAGCATAGAATGATTTATTATTTCCATATTATCTAAGAATGGTTTATTAATGTTCCCTTAAATACATTGACAAAACTACAAGTATAAAGTGTTTCTTCAGATCTCGTGTCAATAACCTTTTAATAATAATAAGTATAAATTTATTAATTTTGACGACCCGGGTCATTTGACCCGACTCGAAAAAAAATTCGAGTCGGGACTATTATTTTATGTCACAAGTCCTAATTTCTTAAAACCCGTTGGATTAGGGTCTCGATTTATCTTGAGCCGGGTGACCCGAATGAATCAGTTGATGCTATTAAATGATATGTGACATGCGCAAATTTAAAATGAGTGAAACTATCGACCTTATTAATTCCAATAATACAGCTTCTCTTGGAAATCGAAAATAATTGCAAAGCAAGCTTTTGAAGAGAAATTTCTTCCACCTGAATATAAAATTCAAAAACACATCGAGAAGTTAGATGTTTTAACTGCTCGTATCTTTTTTAAATAGAATTTAATTTGGTATATTATAGGTTGATATTTTTTTTTAAAATATATTAGGGACATAAATCGTGGCTCTGCAATATTGGTGGTTCAAATATTCAAATACAACAAAATTATGTAGAGCGTAAATAGAAAATAAATTATTTTAATAAAAAACGAGTGTTGCTTGTTTTTAGACTTAAAGACGATAAATTTGCGCATGTATGAGTTCGAATTCCTGGAGCCAATAATATATTTAAAAAAATCTAAATTTGAATTAATGTACAACCAAAGAATTTTACTTCAATTTTAACACACATTTTTCATTATATACATAATTAAAAAATTTTTTTACTTTCAGTATTAATATTACCTTACATTCGAATCGAATACGAGTTATACAATAATCGGATCGGGTCAAACAATAATCGGGTCGAGTCGAAATCGGTCCTGTAAATATTAACGGGTTCGAGTTCGAGTTTGCTTCAAACCCGACTCTAACATATCATTACCTCTTATTATCAATATTTGAAATACTCCATAATATTCTAAAAGAAAGTTTCTTCGGTATCTATTATTCTAATTTCATACCTAAAGTATGAGGACAATTACCACGATATAATTCATAACCATACATATTATTGCATTTCTTAAAATTGAATCTTTAATTTTATTCTTACACTTATAAGTCTATATTTAATTGAACTACCGGGGGAGGACAAAAGTATTGCACGGTTTTGATTTAGATATTTTAGTTAATTTATCATATGTAACTAAGCCAT